ATTAATTTAGCGAACATATTGCTTATTAGAAGTAGACCGTTTTAGTGGGGGTGACATCTAAAATCTTCATATGTAGAGTTCTTGGCGCTTTCTTGTCACATCCGACAAGTGTGATGTGGCTTATAATTCAGCCAGGTTTCCTCGCTTCTGATCTAAAAAGTACCCCCCCCCACGTACACCACGAGGGTCTTACCAGGAGGACAATTTTGCGGGTAAACAAAGCGCTGTTGCAGGACAATTTTGCGTATAACGAATCAAAAATGCAAATCAAAAGAATACTAAAATAATAAATGAATAAAATAACATATCGACAGATGTTCAATTCGTGGTTTTTCTCCCCCCTTCCAGCAACAGGCTCTACACCGCCAATCCGCGGCCTGGCAGGAGTCCCTCCGCTACCGCATACCCAATTTGGATGGGCTGGGTGGCCTGCGTCGAGTGACCCTCAACGACAATCCGGACATCGGGGACGCCGGGGCTGTTCAGCTGGCTGACGCCCTGCGAGACGATCTCTGGATCAAGGCTGTGGATCTGCAGAACTGCGGTGTGAGTAATGTGGGCGCACTGGCCTGGCTGGGCATTCTCTCAGAGACGAAAAACGACATATCAACAGACTGCAGCATTACAATTGCTGAGGGCGGAAATCGCAGTCTGATGGTGCTTGACCTGCGGCGTAATGGACTCATCGGTAGGCTCTCTTTTGTTACCTGCTAGTTTTGTGATTGAGCTTGAAGGTCGAAATCTACTTCAGTATTGAAACCAGCCGGATAAGTTGCCTGACGATGCATTATAAGGGAATAACGTATATTTGGGCAATATTATTGTCAAGGTAGCCAGCGGCTGCAATATCACCGTGTAATTGCGTCTTGTGTGAGTCCCAAGGAAGAACACGACAAGAAGAGGACCAAGGCAGAAGTCGTTTTCCATGCCTAGTAAAGAATACTTATATCAAGCAAAACATACGAAAGTGGACCAATCAAATTGTGTCCTTGAGGAGTAACATGCTGACTGACTGTTGGGCTGGACAGCGTGATAGCGCAGAACACTAATCATGGTCGGCGGTTTGATCGATCTCATCACTCGCGCGGCTTGTACCGATCGATAGTGCACCATGGGACGAGTAATCAGGACAGTGTAATAACTGGTCATTAGGCTTGCCCCTAACAAATCTAACGCATGCAGCTTCGGATATGTTTATTGACCGGTTTTGCTGCTTGCGATATCTACCGCTAAATGTCAGAATTGTGACCTTATTTATGAAAAAAGGTGAGAGCTGTTTTCGAGATCTGTTAAGATGGTGCGATTGAGTTTCATTATCAGGCCCTGTACCACGGTTAAATCGTAGTGGATAGGGTGTTAACCGAAATTCTACATGGTCATTTCTTTTCGGAAAGATCAGATACGTAGAAAATGGCTGTTCAAACCCAAGGCCAGGTGGCGCACGACTCGAGGCTCGAACTCGCGATCTTTGATCACAATTTAACGTCCTAACCATTGAGCTGCGATCTCGTTGGCTTACCAGTTTAAATTGGAGGGGGCAGGAGTTTCCTTGGAAGTGGTCTTGGATACAACAAGGCGCAGCTTGTTTCCATACGGTAACCGTGAGAAGGGGTTTTTTAAGTTGATAAAACTGATTTGCCAAAAAACGATTTTGTGAAAATAAG